TATCGCCTTGCGCTCGCCCTTGCGCGCTCTTGCGCCGTGCCGTGTTTAGAGCATGTCCTAAAACTGAATCCAAATATTAAAGTGCACTGCTAGTCTACGGTCAAGAGCCGGGGGTTTAGAACAACCCTCATATATATATATATATATATATATATATATATCGGAGGGTGGCAATTTGCCCGGTGTCTGTCTCACTCATTCCAACAAGCTGCACTTTGATTCAACGCGCCGCTCCTCGGATTCTCCGGAAGCCACGGCCAGCGTGAGGCACAGCAGGAGGGCATGAGAAGGCATCCGCCGCACCTTGCCAAAAAAGAGATGGAAAAAGCAGCCCGGAAAATCTTTTGAGTGCCTGGTACTGGGAGTAGTTTAGACCCATGGAAGACCAGCGCTTTGCTGGAATCTCTCCTGCTATAAAGCTTGAGCCACGGACGCCGGGGCCAACCGCTGGCTCTTGCTAAAACCTGCACATCGTGCCGTCCGGCTTGGCTGCTGGCCGCTCCTTTGTTGACCTAAGAAGCCTACGAGTAAGGGTGTCCTCGACAGTCTAGGGATGGACGCGCGGTCCATGAAAATTCGGAGAAGTTCCTCCATCTGTCCGTTTGCCGCGAGCCGACAACTCACCACTAGCAGTGGCTGTCAGCCTGTCTAAAACTCCCGCTTCAGGTCGTGGAGTCATCCGACAGCCTTAGCTCCGAAAGACTACAACTACTCGCTGCACCTCTCTTTTGCTCGTCCCAAATAGTCTCTAAGCGCGTGGCTCCTCCAAGGTAGAGCCGGAGCACATTGGCAGCCGCCAGAAGTCGATGCCACCCCCTACGGCTTCAGGCTTCAAGTCAGGGCTGCACGAATCAGAGTTTCCCGACGACAAGGGTCCTGTTGGTGCGGCTTCTTCGGCAGCTTCGGTGTATGCAACCTCGCCTGCTACTGCTGCTGCGGCCGCTTCTGCTGCGGCGGCTGCTGCTGATGCTGCTGCCGCTGATGCTGTGGCTGATGCTGCCGCTGATGCTGCTAACGCTGATGGCGCTGCTGATGCTGCCGTAGCATCGTCTCCTGAAGGAATACCAGTTGCAACGATCGCAGATCTCATCCACTCTCCTTGCCTTCTGGAGCTTTTGCTCCAGAGTAGCCCTCTGCGTCGAGCTCTTGGTCGTTACCTGCCACCGCCACGACATTTGACAAAAGTTCGATTGTAGTTCTGGCTGTCTTTTAGCTTTTGGCCGCGAACCCATTGGCAGACGCCAGAAGTCCGCACCGCATCCTCCGGACATGAACAGCCGCCGATTCGGTGATCGTGATCCACTCCACAGCTTGGCCTGGACTATCCAGCTGAGCGGGCTCCGGCACAACCTCTTTGGTCCTGTGGCCCGCAGAGCAGTGGCAGGTGCGAAGACAGAGAGCCGCAGCGGGCCTCGAAATCGGACTGGCGCAGTTTGCCACCTGGCAGCTTCTTGCTGCAATGTGGACATGCAAAGGTCGCCACCCCGGCCCCGAACGGCCTCTGCTGGACACGATTCAAAAACTTTGCGACCTGCAGGAGCTGAGAAGGGCACACAGCAGATCAGATCGGCCGAACCGAGCCCTGGGCTTGCTTCGCCCGAACTTCCAGTTTTCCCCAGCTCGAGGGACTCTTCACTGGCTGCACCCTCCGGCCGCGGAGCAGGCGCTGCAGGTGCCGCCATCTTTGCAGCTTCCAGCTGGAAGCGACCTCGCATGCGGCGCTCCAGCAGGAGGCAACAGGAGGCCGCACAGTTCTTGTGTTCGCACCGGCTGTGCGTACTGCAGTGGACATGCGTCCTAGCTTGCCTCCGCTCTTGCGCTATCGCACCTTTGCCACCGCCTGGTACTTTTGCCGTATCCAATCTTTCTTGGTGCTTGTTCATCGAAGCCATTTGGCACATCATTCGCGGGGGCTTTCATTTTGCACGTCATCGTGTGCGAGCGACCTCGGCAGGCCTTGCAGCAGGTGGATCCCGGCAAAACGACCAGAATTCTGAGGAACAGGACGAAACCGGCCCGAAGAGAGGAGCGAACCGCTCAAACAGACAAGAGAAGTTGCAAACACTGAGCAAACCGCTCGAACTCACAGAGAGCAAACTATAGCAAAGCGCTCCAGAGGCCCTCACGGCTTTCCGAGCAAACCGGCTCGAAACATGAGCGAACTTTTAGAGCCTTTCAGAAAGAGGAGCGACCCGATAGTGGTTCTAGTTTTATGAACAAGCCGATCGAAAAGTGACTAGAGGACTTGAGAAAGCGCTTGCAAGATACTGGAGAAGTTGAGGGAAAGGTGAAAACCGAAAGGAATAGAAACGGAGAAAGAAGAGCAAACTGCGCAAAAGGGATCAGTACTTTTTGAAAACGTTGAGCAAACAGGCCTGAAACCTGCGTTCAATGGTCTGGTCAACATGACACCTTGGACGGCACCGAGCATGGTTTACTGCCACCTTGTGCTTGTCTCGTTCTGGGGGGGTGTGGCCAGGAAGGAATATGGTTTTGCGATGTTTTGCGCCGATTTGAGACTGTTCTCTTCGCAGGAGGCAAGGTCCGAAGGATCTTGTTCCGATTCCGCAGAGTTCTTCCCTCCGCCGAGGCGTGGACCATGGGGCCGAGGCTTTGCATCCATGGCTCCCTTCACGAGACACAGCGAAGTTCACACCTTTCAGGGAGGGCAGCCCAGCCACGCCTCCTCGGCTGAGGGCTCTCTTTGAGCGCGAGCTTCTCTCGAAGGCGGCGCCAGAAACCTTCCAGATGGGCTCGGCTCAAAGGACTTCCCTTCTTCGCAGCTTCCACAGAGGAGAGGACTCGGGAGTGGCTCCAAGCACTTGCGCGGGCTTCTCCGGCTCCTGGCAATTGTGTTGACCCTCTCCTCCTGCTTGGCACTGAGGATGGCAGGCGAAGTTATTCCCGTCCTTGGTGCGACTGTCCGGAAGCAGTTGGCCAGCAGCCGACATCTCCGACCAGAACACCTGAATCAAAGAGGAAGCAGGCAAACGCATCCGACGACGAGCGCACTACAATTCAAACTATAAGACACAATGCTCTTAGACAGACTGCAAACTTCCACGGGCGGGGATGACACCGTGTGGGTCCACTTGATCGTGCCACCCCAACAAACTTCCAAACCAGACCAGTTGAAAATATCTGCTTACTCGAAAATCTCGAAAGCCGCTCCACCGTTCCCTTGCACAAGTGAACTCGGCATGCCTCTGCATCCACTTCAGATGCAATTCGCCAAAGATGCGCGAAGCCCTGGCAGCCGGAACACTCAAGTGAAAGCTTGATAACAAGGCTGGACTTTGCTGGACCACACCTCTTCCGCTGATGGTGCCTGCCACTTCTTCGCAAAGCCACGGATTACCTGCGTCACGGCTACAATCAAGCGGAACATCTTGCGATCTTTAAATGTTCGGCTGTCGCTGACTGCCTTGAGAGATGCCTCACGTGGTGGAAGTGTATCTTGGCGGTGGCTTGTCAGCAAGACCCGTGCACTCAATCGGTCCATCTTTTAGCCAAGAAGCTGTGGGCAAAGCGTCGCAGCACCCGGCGACCACATTCGTGATCAGGCACATCCAGCCAAACACAACCCATCTGACCGGGCTCCAAGTCAAACTCTTGGACCGCGAGCTGTGTCCAAATTGCCCGCTGTGCCACATTGACGTTGCATCGATCGATGACAATGCGACCATCTGGCCGCCTCAAGGCAGCACGAGCTTCCTTCATGCAAGCTTGCCGGGAGCCCAGGCAATCCTGGTTTACGACCACCCAGTTCCCTCCAAGCCGCTGTGCTAAAGTGCTCTTGCCGCTTCCGGGCAATCCACACAAAACCAGCAACCTCAAGGCTGCCAGGTCCACGGCCTGCTGTGGCACAAACGGGAGCGCCTCAGCTCGCAAGAGCGATGCTCCTGCGACCTCCGCCTCCGCCATCTCCGCCACTTCGGCCCCTCGAGCCTCTTCTGCCTGCTGCTGCAGCATATGCTCAAGCCACGAGGCCCAGTCATCTGCCCACTCCACTGCGTACTCACGACCCTGCGGAATGGGTGCGAAGCCAGCGCCGTCATCAGCATTGTCAGCCACGTCAGGGAGGTAGAAGTGCAGAATCTCGAGTAGGTCGGCAGCTATGGAAGCAATCTTGCTTGCAGCCTCAGGGCCTTGCGGGCACTGCGCTCGCAACCCATCCGGCAGCATCCAGACTGCGCAGCCGTGCTCAGAGCCGAAGCGGGAGATCTCTTCTGCGAGCGACTCCATAACCGAACGATTGCGCTGTCCGTAAAACCCTATGGGCGCGGGAAGGAGCAGCGTTTCCGTCTCAGCCTTGTCCTCAGGATGAGGAACACTTGGCATCCGCTTGGCCTCGGTTTTGACATCGGCTGGTCGTGGCAGCTCACCTCGCGCGGCCGACATGCACGTTGACCTGAGAGGGCAAAAACTAGAACACGATTTTTGACAGCATCATGGCGGTACCAAAACCTCCCACTAGCCCTTTTAATGCAGTGCTTGGACGTGGAGACTAATGTTGCTAGTCAGGTCTACAATGTAACAACATTCTGAAAGCATGCAACGCATCTCGCCGGAAGGACAAAATCCTTGCCCCCCACAAAGGAGAAATACCGGATAGTTTTGCACACCATCTTGAAGCCTGTCTGAAACCGACAATGTAAATCCTGCTATACCCTGGCTGGGCTGTGGCGAGCTCCTGCAACTCACATGCAGGAGGGCTGCAGACTCATGCTGCATGTGAAGCTGTCTCCTGCCATAAGAATCTCGGTGTACGGAGCTCAGGCGCCGGCATCCACCTCCGCAAACAAGCAGCTGCTTCTTCGCGTCGTTGGTCCGGAGGTGGCTCTGGCTCATGCCCGAGTTCACGCAGATGCTGCAAGCAGTCGTTCCAGCGGTCAAAGGAATCCCAGCAGATGGGACAGCAGAAACGAGCGGCACGCCGTGACCCGACTTGTGCTCTCAGGATGGGCTGTCGCGTGGGCACTGGGGCAGCTTCGGGCGCCTTCTGTCGGAAGACGTCCAGGCGCGCGCCACGCCGAAACCGAGCCCGGAAGCGAGCGCTTGGGGCATCGTCATCGCTCTCGGCATCCTTGAATTCGGATTCCCCAGATTCTGGCCTCGGAGCCTTGGGGTCGTGCTCGCACGCTGACCACCACAAAGGCAAGCCGTCGACCGCGACGATGATGTCTTCAGTGCAAAGGCCAGGCTGGCCCGGAACCTCTGCGATTTCACAAATCTTCAGCCCCTCAGTCACGGTCTCCAAGTGGAGGCCGGCCCCTTCTTCTTCGTCCACCAACAACTCCCTGCGAAAAGTCTGACGTGCCATCCCAGTCAGACTCGAAGAGGATGTCCGCGGAAGATACGGCAGCGGCTTCTCCGTCTCAAGCAAAGGTGGCCAAGAGCCTCCTTGACAAACCTTCTCCAACGCCAGCGGCAGGACGGATGGCTTCGAGCGCGACGCAACGGAGCTCAGAAAATTGCTACCAAGCTGCACATGCGGTGCCTCATTGAAGCTGGACTTCCGCTGCGGGCCGTCGGTGCAGACGGCACGTAGGCCTGCGCGCAGCCGGAGACGCCCGAGTAGACCTGCAGGCTCCTGAACGTTGTTCTGGTCCAGGCTGACCCAAGCAGGGGCAAAGAGGCCACGCTTGTCCAGCCAAGGATAGGCCTCGAAGGGATGCAAGGCCAACGAGAGAAGAAGCTGACCAGCCTCAGCTGCAAGGAAAACAAAAAAAGTCCCCACCTCCCTGCTTTATCCTCGTTTAACCTGTTGTTTTCCTGCTCTCCAGCTCTACTCTACACCAACTCTCCGCGTCTGCCCGACCCGACGCATGGCGGCTGAGGCGCACCAGAACCTGTGATGCGGTTCTGTGAGAGATGGACTTCCTCGATGGCAGAGTGCTGCGCACAGATCAGGGCTGCAAGCCACTCAATCGAAGCATCTCCCAACTTGTTGCGAGCCAAGCGGATGGCTCGACACCGGACCTCCTTGCGACGCCGCAAGAGCCAGCGGAAGAGAAAGACAGCGCCAGGATCGGAGATGCTGTTGTCTGAGAGGTCTATTTCGAGCAGAGCACGCACAGGTGGCCGGTGCAGGCTTCCGCTGCTTTCGGCAAGTGTCTCAAGCCGCTCACCACGCAGGTCTTCGAGCAGCCGGTCCAGGCTGGCCGTCACCGATGGAAGATCTGTATCCTGCAGACTGCACGAGCAAAATTTGACTTACTCTGACACTGGAGCTCAAGGTCTTGTTGCACACACCCACACAGATAGATATTTACGTGTGTGTATATATATATATATATCATACCAGAACTATGCCTCTATGCATATATATATATATATTTCTTTATGTGGCAAGGACCTTTAGGGATATTTGGGGATACAGTGCGTGACACAGTTACAACAATTCAAGCATGCTGTGTGAATGACACAGCACGCTTCACAGCTAACACATAACAATTCAAATGACGACCATCTTCCTTTCCATGGTTGCAACCCGTGGAAGGCAACCTTTGTGGCCGGCTTTGTTTAATTGTCTTCCTTGTTTTCGATGAATGCATGGTCTGATCACAAAGTAGGGTAAAACATGTGCTTCGTAGAACTGTTGACAAGATGTCTCAGAAGGGTTGTTGACGCCAAGTTGCCAAGCGGCACGTCACATCGGTCTAGCCATAACCAACGCTCCAGCCACTTTGGCCATGTCTTGAGCCTGTGCTTCTCCGTGCGTGCAGAAGCACGTAGTCTTGTCGCGATTGCTTGCATGAGATGCTCACCTGACACTGAAAGTCAAGGAAAGAGATCGAAGGAGAATTACGACACTAGCGTTGTAGGAACAGACATAGCTCCAGGTGGATTCTTGCGAAAGAGACTGTCTGCTCTGCACGGTGCACTTGCATCCAAAGTGAATATTCGTTCCTGAATCAGGCAGCTACGGGTTTGCGTTTCTCTGTGCGTCTGCGGCCCCGGCAACGACAACGCTCTGTCCGTGTTTCATCGGGGTCGATCGCGGGCGTAGGTGCCAGGTGCTTCATGATGGGTCCCATCAGATTCGTGCCTTGGTAGCTGTACTTCATGGGCCAAGCTCCTGATGTTGAAGTGCTGCACTTCACTGGTATGGAATGCTACCACGTGAGCCACGTCAGTTTCGACAGAAGAAAATTGTTTCGCTTGACTGAGCTTTGGACGTACTCAAGATGACTCGCTTGGCCGTGACAGGCTTCCGACTTTTCGTCATGTTTCCTCGAAGTTCCTCTCGCTTTTGATAGTAGCCCAATCCGATTGGGCCCCTCCCCAGCTTCCAGTCATGGCCCGGGGGACCAAACAAGTGAGCACCCACCTTGCCCTTCCGACATCTGCCACCAGCCGATGCCATCAGTACCGAGCCTCGCGGTCTGCTCTCATGACTCCGTCTCGGAGGTGTGCGATGGAATCAATGTCGCCCAGTGGACGTCGCTGACCTTATGCCGGAGCGGACATCGTCCTGACAAACTCGACATAACAACATCCACACATGGTGAATATGCTCTGTATCATCCGTGGTGTGAGCAGGCTGCGCAAATTCACACGCCTTCAACTTTCACATCTTGCTCGGGGGCGACGGTCGGCTCGGATGATGCCCTCCGACCTAAGTGCAAGCCACGCTCGACCGCCCTTGTTTAATGGTCGCTAGCATGAGACGCGGCAGAGGAGCTGAGTTGGGTCCACGAGGCTGCTTCCTGCATTCGACTCACGATGGCAGAACTCAAGCCATTGCCTTAGCTGCACGAGATCCGGGATCATATTGCCAAGTGGAGATACGCCAGGATGCAGTGTCACCGACAGCGAGCCCGTCACGGCGCACTCGGCTGACGCCAGCTGTACCTTCAAACATATATATATATATAGACGTATATGTATACGTATGTTCTGTGACCTGTGCAATAACTGAGGTCACGCGCTTAGGGCGTCAGGAGACGAACGAACTCAACGAACCTGACGAGGCGGGCGAACGGCTTGGAATCATGTTTCGTGTTGTATTCTAAAGTCGGGCTGAATGGGGTGTCTTCCGCTGTGTCATAGACAACAATCAACTTTAACAAGGTTTTTCTTTCCCTGAGAACCAGCTTGGGTAGACAACAACTAAACAAGATGACAGTCAGAACGACGAAGCTTCTTCTCAGTGGTATTGTTCATGTTTGTGCTACTGCTAGATCTAGCACCCCGGGAAGACTTGGAAAGTAGAAACCCGCCTACGGGCTCGCACTTGTCTACAAACATGGTAATATAGATGAATACTGTTTAATAGGTCTTGTTTTTCTAGATCTGCCCGGTATTCCGGGCATATTGTGTTATGTGACTGTTTTCGCTGACACTTCAACAGAAAGTTGTGGTTATCATCGCACTTGAACCCATTATGTCCGCCCTCGCTCCATGTCGTGGGTGCTAAGTGTTGCGGGCACCTTGCGCCCACAACATAGGAAAGACGGTGTTAGCGAACAAGATCAGATCCAGCTGAATCAAGCCATTCGGGATGATGTCCAGGCACGTATGCTGATGGCGACGCTCGGGGGCCCCGGATACATGCCTAGGCTAGTCGCAAGTACTTCAATGACATGAATAACCGTCTACTACAAATGTTGCATCATGACGATTACATTAACAGCTGTTGGCAAACATGCTGTCGTGCAGTCTGCGCAGACGGCCGCCAAAGCTAGTATGCAGGGTTTATCCTAACTAAGCTTGATTCATCGCAGCGAGCAGCTGCAATCTACATTCGGAATTGTCTCTCTCTCAGACCTTACGTCAACTACTTCTCACACCTTACTCCAACTATATTAGTTAAATCTTTGCGGTACCACAAAGACCCCAGGAACCCCATCGCGGCACCAGAAGAACCCCTTGCAGGCACCACTTCTTCAAAGAACATCGCGGTAGAGCCCCATCGGGGCACCAAGGGAACCCCCTCCAGGCACCACTTCAAAGAACCCCACCGCGGCACCAAAGGAACCCCTTAGAAATACTATTTCAGCGAACTTCATTGTGTTAAAAAGGAAACCCGTGACCAAATACTAAGAATGCAGTACACGTAGAACCATATCATGACCCTACAGAGTAATGCTGCATGCAATGATGCGGACTACATACACTAAGAATAGCTATGCAATATCATGTGGGTGTAATGTGAAACTGCCCAACACCGTAAAGTATGGCAGACTATCGTACGCGACCACAGATGATATAGTATGGCATGGTAAGCTAAGTTTCGTTTTACTACCAAGACCTTCCAACCATCTCAATCACCATCGCCAGCTGCGCTGCGGTACAAGCGCACGGCACACTGCGATTTCGCCTTCAAGTCGGGAGTTCCTAGCTTGAAGAACGTCTTGGGCTGACCGCTAACAAATGCTTAGGTTGTAACCCACAAGCCATGCATGTTCTATGGCAAAAACCGTGCCAACATCAGGAAAGTCACTCTTCCTGCTGGGACGTTAGCTGCGCTTTGAGTACGCTTTTCTCGGTGTTCTCTTTTGGCGACGTTTCCTGCCATCCGGCTTTAGCCTTGTAGACTTGTAGTAGTGCTCTTTCAGCTCATCGTAAAGGCTCTTCCAGTCCGGCTCCGTGGTAATTTTGTTGGAAGAGAAGGGGAACTGCAAGGGTCTTTAATGGTGGACGAGACAAAGCCTTAGCCTCGGGGTTGACAGAACTCTCCGGAGGACACGTCGTTCTTGAACCGCTGGCTTTGGGCGGGGGAGACGAAGTCGTGCTCTTGGCCTTGGGGTTGACAGAACTCGGCGTAGGGCTGGTCGCACTGGAGTCGTTGGCCTTCCTTGGGCGTGGTGTGAACGGTCTCCCCTCGGCCTCTGGTCATGGTCTCTCCTGTCTACGCTTGCGGCGTACTTCGGGAAGCAGGGGCATGGCGCGTGCGAGCCTAACAACACCCTAAGTTTAAGCTGCCTGTAACTCCAAGTGCATCGTCACCACAACAGTGGTAAGATAACTTCTTTACCAAGCTTGCGGATGCAGTAGGTAAGCAAGCGCAGTGCAAAAACTATTACGTACAGCATGCGGCCTAAGTTTTACGACAAGCTTTTCAAACTGTTCGGAATGCCGAAACTTTGAAAACTCTGCTACCGAAACTTTAACAACTATGAAAACCAAGGATCGGCTTTCACAGCTTTAGTAGGTTTTGATAGTTTTCAAAGTTTCAATAGTTTTCAAACTTGTCGAAAATGCCGAAACTTTGAAAACTATGAAACTATGAAAACTTTCAAACTATGACAACCAAGGATCGGCTTTCCTAGTTTTCATAGTTGTAGTATTTGTCATCGTGTTAATAGTTTTCAAACTTTTCGGAATCCCGAAACTTTGAAAACTCTCTGCTGCCGAAACTGAAAACTATGAAAACCTCAAAAGCTATGAAAACTCTTCATAAGTTTTTAATCCTTCTGAAATTTAGAATTTTAGACATCTAGAATTCTAAATTTCTCAGAAATTTACAAATCCAGAAATCTAGATGTCTAAAACTCTAAATCTCAGAAATTTCAGAAGTCACATAGAAAAAATTGAAATTTTAGAAATTTAAAAATTCCAGAATTTTAGATTTCTAGAATTTCAACAATTTATCAATTTTACAGGGAGTGGAAAACTCTGCGAATCTGTCTTCAGGTATACAGGAATTTCATAGTTTATAGGCTTTACGAATTCTAGAAATCTAGAATTCTAGAATTCTGACTTTGTTCCCTTTTGAATTTGTAAAACTCTGAAACATAGAAATTTAGTAATCTAAATCCAGGAATCCAGACTTCGAGATTTCTTAAATTCCAATAAGTTCTGAGTTTTTAAAGAATCGAAAACTCTACCCTAAGGCTGGTAGATCTCTGAAGCTTAAGAGTGAGTCAAGAGGCTTCACCAACTAGACCCTAAAGGTCCTATATATATATATATATATATATATATAGTGTATATATATATATATGTATATTCACCATTGCGGGCCATACTCTCCGAAAGATTCCCTATTAGTACCTCCGAGGACCCCAAATAGCCGGACATGCAAGTTGCAGCCTAGCCAAGATCCAAGATCCAATGGACAACAACACACGATGCTGATTATCTGCAGTAGATTCATGCCTCCTTCCGTTGCCGCGTTGCCGTGGAAGTCGCGAGCTGTGTAACAAGAGGGAGCGATGCTAGAGGTCGCAGGGCAAAACATTCAGCACAAGGCAACGAGATGCGACATATAAACATCGAGCAACAACCAACACATGGTCGAAGAATCCAGACGGAGTTCATACATGCAGAAGAGAGGCTTGCATGAATCATCCAACAAGGGCCGTCAGGCGAAGCGTCCGGCAGCTAGATTGAAGTTCTCGTAAGAGTCCAAGAACAACGGAGTAACAAAGTTAACAGACGATACGCTGCATTAGGGGAGACATCCGGCAAAAGGCACGGCATCCCAAGATCCCAAACCAAGGTTCAGCCCAAATAATCACACAAAGGCAGTGCACAGGCAACACAAGTGTGTAGGGGAAAAAACATCCAGTGTCCTGCAGACCCATCCGGGCCAAAGGCACGCAAAGGCTGGCAGCTCCAGGTGTTTGAAGTAGCCTAAGCCGGAAAAACTGCGCCCACCAGCTGCGCTGATTGCGCTCCTGGGACTCGTCCTCACTGCCCTCGCTGCTCGTGACACCTGACCTGGGTCTGTCACCTCTGTGAGGGGCCTCAGCCTCCGTCCCAGGTTCATGCATCCGTTTGGGTTTTTCAAAGACGCTGGATGGAAGCATCGAGACGTCCGGGCCACTTCCAAAGTCGCCGGCCGGTGACTCGATGCACTTCGCACTGTCGTCACCCCTATCCAAGTTGTCCTGCTGCGCATCCTGACAGGCAGAGACCAGCACAAGAAGGGCTTGCGCCGCGCGTACCCGGGCAAGCGTGCCGCAGCATCGCTCGTGTCTTTCGCAGAGCCGGCCTTCCGCTCCTTTTTGGAACATCCCAACGTCTGCATCCGCGCTCGCGCAGCTGCCAGCCGCGCCTCCTGGCAGCCGACAGCTCGACCCACTCCAGACACTTCCCAAAGACCAGCCTTGGATGGCTCTGGGTTCGGAGGAGTGCCCAGGCTCGCCTCCCGAAAGCAACAGGAGCAAGGCAAAATCTCTGTCTCTCAGCCTGTGGTTTAGCCTACTGGTACTAGTCACTGCCTTCGGCACAGAGTCCGCTTGCTCAGACGCCAGCCTCAGGGCGAGACAGTGCATGATCTGCATGGATCACTGTTCTCTGAGGACCCAGTGAGGATCAGACAACGGCTTCCCGGAGAAGCAGATTTCGTCGCCTCAGCCGGCGACGTCCAACAGCAACTCGGGGCGAGAACAATCTCAAGTTTATCGTGCTACTATGCCTTGAAACCAGCAATTGCCCGCGGCCCCCACCACTTGAACTGTCTGTGTCTTCGCCAGCACTTCGAGCTGTAAGGGGCGAGGCCTGCCATCCGCCCTCTTCAATCAATCTGCTACAAACGGCCCGCAACTGCGAATTCCAGATAATGCAGAAGACGAACAGATCCATTCCAGTTCGGCTCTTCGCTGGTGGCCTGTGCTTGTGCGAAGACTCTTTCTCCGAAAGTTGGCATCGGAGGCCTGGATGTGCAGTCCGCTCTGCAAGAAGAGCTGCGCAGCAGAAAAGCCAGACGACGGGGCTCCGGCCGAGAGGGAGGCTCGATGACATCCTTCTGCATATCTCTGCCGGACCTGGACTTGAGGCACAACATTGTACAAGGAAATCAAGTCTCGACTTCGACTTTCACTCTCTTTGCTTCGAGGACCAAAGAAACCCGGGCGTGCCTGCACGCTCCTTCCCCCAGCCTGGAAGCAGGAACAGTGTCCTTCGCCCGTGCAGCTGCCACGGCTTCTGCTACAAGCTCCGGACCATTCGACAGGACCTCTTTGCTCTGCACTGCCATGCCCCATCACCGCCTCAAGGCTCCCTAAGGTGCTCGAGAGCCGGAGAAAAACCAGGGCAAAGGGCCTCGAGTGACTCCGTACAGGCAGCCGCAGGTAGGTGCCTGCATGAATTTCTGAATCTGACGAGCCACAGCTGTCATATCTGTCATCACCTGAGGACCTGGCCTGGAGCGCATCAACGGTCACCTGACGCTGGCCAAAGCACCCGTCCTGGAAATGCCCGAAACTCTTGCGGTCGGTGGATGGGGCTCCCTGTGAACATTCGCCTCTACGAAATCGTTGCTCCATGCTTCCATGGGCGCTGCAAGTGGATCTCAAGTGGCAAACCGGCCTGCCTGCCCCGCGTGCTCGATGAGATTCCCTGCCTTGGTAGCGACAAGCAAAAGAAGAATACCTCGTGCCTCAACGACCAGAGGCGCACCAGCATGAGATGTAACTCGCCAAGCCATGGAGATCACGGCCAAGGAATGTAACAGGGCAACCAGACAGGCAGCTGTGTGCTGGCATTCTACTTGGTCGAGCTGCTGACTTGCCTAGTCTCGCGGCTTGCGACGGTCTCTTGCAGATGTGCATAAAGGTCTCACCTTTGGACTGAGCTTGTCGACAGCGCATGTTGCATCTCAACGAATTTGACAACTCCGTGCCAGCTCGTGGATTTGGGCAGTTTTGTGGCATCCCTGGCACGATCAGAGCTGCCTCTTTTCCATGTCCGATGCCACAATTGGTGTGTCTGACAGGAACACGCATCGTGCCCATTTCGTTCACACCTGCAACTTCAACTTAAGATGTCTACAGATGATTCACATTGAGTCTTCATTCCCATGGAAGCAGAACTCAACTCTTGTCAACATCCCCGCGTCTACTCTACAGAAGCCGAGAGCTGGGCTGCACTCTGCAATTTATAGCACGGCACAGCCTTGCTCTCAAACTGCTCTACGCCCCCAGTTTTACTGGGTCGCCAGTGGGCATTAGTGGGTCGATGCTGCCATGGCGGCTTCCGCGTGATTCTACAACTTTTGGGTTGTAGAGGCAATTGGCCGTGTGGCAGGTGAGACAATGAAACACTGAAAAAGCTCGTTTGCCCAATTTTGACACGAGCTTTCGATTCGCTTGGACATGCACCAGAACCAGCGAGGGTTAGATCGGTTGGCTGTGATTCCGGCAAAGATCTCTGATTCTCACCTGGCTTCGCTAGCTAGATGAAATGTTGCCCGCTGCGTCAACTGGGGAGCATGTCCGCGGAGGTACTACGTGGCGTCACTGGCAGCACTTGCACTTGTTTGCATCGTCTGCCTGACAGCTCTTTTGGCATTTGCGATGCCGGTATACCGTGCAAAAACAACCGGGACCCAGAAGTCAACTTGCTCAGACTGGACTTGTCTCAAATCGCCTGTCGTCTGCCCTAGGCGTGGTCTTCGCCTTCACCTTAGAGACAAGGAAAGCATGCTAATGCCCAAGCCAGTAGCGGCTAGTAGCGGCGATGGCGGCCGACAATCAGTGAGCTTCCTTATGCGCTTGACCTTCTTGCAAAACTTGCCAACCATACAGTAGTCACACAGGTCTCAGTCTCTTGAGACACGGCAATAAATATTGTTCAGACTTGTGCGCATACCTGCCGTTCAACGCGTCTTGCTAGGTACAGGATCTTGCAGATGCGAACTCGCAGTGTCGAAAGCCGCAGATGCAAACTGAGGACAACACCAAGCCCTTGGAGATCCCGCCCGGTGGCATGTAGTTCTCCGGCAGACAAGGGCCCTGTGCAACAAAATCGTTGCAAACCGCCCAGCTTCGGCGTTGGTGAGCGAGCTGCGGCCTTCCACTTGATCCGGCCGAGAGCTGGAAGTTCCCCCATCGCCGCACTCCTGCGATGGCCAGCACGGCGCTCCCTCGCTCAATGCCACCACTCGGCCCGTGGCCGCCATGGGTGCCATGGCCTGGCCACCGAAGCGGGATCATGCTCGTCCAGCAGTCTTTGTGCGTGCTCCGGCTGAGACCTCAAGGTCCAGCTGCTACGAGTGCCAACAGCAACTTCAGCACGCAGGCGCCCTAAGCGGCCGGCATAATCGACCTGATCGCCGCCTCAGCCCTCTGGAATTCGAGGTGCTGTTTCTTGTAAAGGTCGGCCTGATGATAGGCAAAAAGTCCGGATTCGGTCGCTTCCGGACTGTCGCGTCACAGGCCTTCAGGTTCTTGTTCCTCTGGATTAAGCGCTGAGAATCAAGCTGCCGGTGCCTGTCGCTTGGACACGAGGAACCCTCCGCCCGCCACAACACAACGCCCTTTTTCCTGACCTGATCTGCTCGCCACGGTCCCGCTGAATCCTCTTCAGCAAGGCCTGGAGCGCCTGAAGCTCAGGGAGGCTTCCTTTGATTTCCCCCCTGCGAGGCTCTGCGTGCCTCTGCGTGTCTGGACGTTGGGGGGACTCTTAACAACGCTTCCAGTTTGCTGGCGTGGCGTTTGCTTTTTGCGCCCAGCTCGTGCGGGATTTGTGAGGAGCCTGACGGCTGCCTAGAGCAGCTCACGCTTGGCACCGCAAGCTTCGCTTCCGCATGCATTGCTGGATTGGCCGGGCCAGGCAGGACGGTCGGGACCTGCAGGTTGCACATGGCTGAGAGCACACGAAATAAACTGCCCAGCCCCGCTTGAAACAGTCTCGCAACTGTGCCACAGCACCGCTGGCATGAATAGAGCGCGCTCGAAGGCTTGAAGAGGCGAGAGGGCTTCCACAAAGGTGATCACACCACATGCTGCAACAACGATGCTCTTGCGCATGATCCAGAGCCTGACGGCTCTGCAACCTTCTCTCATGCGAGCGACATCTAGAGATCTGACGCCCTGCACTTTCGGAGGCATCACTAGAATTTACATTGTCCTGTGCTGAACATGCTCATTGTCTCCCGGCAGGGCAACAGAAAGGGCTCGCCGCTCAAGTGGTGAAACCATTCAGGATGGACTTGTCCCTAACCTGATACTACCTGCAGACGGGTTCATTTCATGCAACAAATGCAGCTCGTGGTGTCGGCAGCACATGGCCTTGCTGAAAGGAAGCATAGCTTCGGCCACGATAACCTTGCTTTTCCGTTCAAAATTCCACTCCAAATGCAAACTTGAGCGCAAGCTGCAAGTCTGCCGATGAGGATTCGGCTTGGAGGTAACGGGCAAGATTCACGAACCTGATTTCACAGAAGGCCTCATATGGCCCCTAGGATGCTTGAGCTGAGCTGTGAAGCTGAGATCTTGGCTCACCAACTCCCATTCGTCCCCTTCCTGACGTAGCACATGGGCTCAGCTTCATCCCTCAACTCCCGCGCTCTCATTCGGCCACACGGGTAGGCTCTGCCTTCAACAAGCGTATCATGTGCATCGAACGCTTGGCCTTAACAAGAGACCGTTCGCAAGCCAGCATCAATTGCACTGACATTTGATGCAACACTCGGGGAGAAGGTCCACGCGAACTTCTTCTTGCGTCGGCTGCGGGGCTTTTGTTAGGTCGGCTGCACCTCGAAGCTTTGACGGCTCGACGGGAAACATCGAGTTTATTCAGCTGGCCAGGCCCTGTCCGAGACATATACGAAGAGGAATATCAACGGATAGATGGAACAGATGGAAGAACAGACACACCCAAAGACGGACAGACAGACAGACAGACAGACAGACAGACAGACAGACAGATGGACAGCAAGAGAGGCAAACAGACGCAGACACAGCAGCAAGGTGAGCGACAGCTGCAACACAGTGAAGACATACAAACTGAAGCCGACAGATACTTAATTATGGACAGTATACGTTCGGTTTGGGTCTGCGTTTAGGAACGAGAACGAGATGCTGAGGCAGCCACACCGCAGCGACTTGCAAATCAATGCTCTCGCTTCATCGAAGCTGACTCTGCCGTCTTTGTCCTGGTCAAAGAGCTGGGGAGGACATCGAAAATGCTAACACGGCTTTCGGGGCACCGCATGTGGGGCCAAAGCTGAGATCTGAATCTCAAGCACTTGCACTCTTCGACCTTTGAAGCGGCCCATGCACCCTAGGTAGACTTGGAAGGGCAAGGCACAACATCCGTGTCATCGGGTCTTTGCGACCATTGCTGCGCATGTGACTCCTATGTAATTGCTTGCTGGAGCCGAATACCGTCCTGGTCTGCCTGGACGAACATATTGGTCTTGACCTCATCCGCTGTTGACTTGGAGCCACTGTTACTCTCTCGATCTCTCTACCGTACAGCAAGGAGCACCATCATCAGCTGAAAACCCAAAGTCGTTTTCTCAGAGCCCAACGTGATCGAAGTAGTCCTTTGACCACAATCTCGTCTCAACCTGAATGTGCAGGCATGGTGACGAAAGTGCGGCGCGGAGGTGTGCATTGCAGCTTCTTGCTATAACACATCGTGCTCCAGCACCTCGTTCCAATAGCGATCCACTCTGTCGGCGGGCCAAGTCTTGGCCTCCCGATACACTACCAAGCCTGTCTCCTGCACATATGAGATTCTTCGAGATCACTGAGATCCCCACAGTCTTTTCTCTAGCATTTCTTAGAGCATCTTCCTGGCAAGTTGCCAAAACATGCGGACCTCATTTACGGTTTTGCCGAGCCCATCCGAGCGAAGTCTCAACTGCGCTGCAGAAGCATGCTGGAGGGACCCAGAGTCCCCGCCTGGACAGGGAGACATGGATTAAGATTTGCATGATGTGGCGGAAGGCGTCCAGAATCCAGATGGGTCAGAAGAGCTGTGACGACTTACGTCCCTTCTACTGTCACGCTCTCAGTTTGTTTGGCAGATCCGCTGGGGGTGCGGCGCTCTGGCTGCCTCCTTCGCATCTTCGGCAGAGGAGCCTGAGCAGTCTCTGCCGCTCGCAGCAGGCCGGTCCCAGGAAACACCGAGGCCCATGACCGTCAGCCCACAAGTAGGAGATGAAGTCATTGTACTTCACCTGAGAGGCCGAGCATACCGAGAAGAAGCTGAACCTGTGGTGTTACAGAAGCAATATGAGTCATGAGCGATCACACTCCAGATTAGGAGTGAGCGGGAGTTTTAGAGACACTGCACAGTGTCTGGCGAGACTGGCCGTTCTTTATGAGTTCGGGCCCGTGCTCCACCGCCGCTGTCCGCACCGGCAGCCACAAAGAGCACCTGCAGATAAAAAAAAACCCAGGCTGCCGGCGTCTCTGCGGCACTCCACTCGGCTTCGACTCTTCCACTCCCGCCTCCAGATCCGACTCGGTGACTTGGGGCGTGAGCCTTCCCGCTTCCGCCCCGCGACGTGCGTTCTTACAGTGCATTGACATTGCATGGCGTGACGCGGAGCCTCTGGAGAATGCGAATCAGCTGCTTGCGGCTAATCGTGCCGCATCCTTCAGAGAACACTTTTCTGCTACTGTGTCGCCGACGGCGCCGGCCACGCCTTGTACATCCCAGCTGCGGAAGGCCTGCAGATAGGACAGGTGGACACAAGATGTCAAATCAGGAAGGCCATGGCCTCAAGTACTTTTTCGGATAGGATAACCATTTTGGTGACGTCACCTCCTTGGCAAGCCCACCCGTTTGCTCGGACCTGATGCCTGTGAAAACCTCTGAGCGCTTAGCATCCACGCAAGGGGGCCGCGATGGTTCGCTTCTTTGTACAACTTTGCCCCTGGCGGCGTGACGGCCCAACCCCAACTTCACGAGGATCTCCAAACCTGCCAGAGCTGCACCCCATCTGCCTGGGAGCATGCGCCGGTTTCGAGCCAAAGACCGCGGGCGCGACCAGCACAGAGTATGCAAAAATGCAAGCCTGGCCCTTGTGAAAGCCAAAGAACATTGGCCCAGAACAGCTGACACACCTTTCTTTCCGGTCGCGGCCAAGTCACCACAAAAGTAGCCCAAGCGATCGCTGCAAGAGAAACACTTGCCAGAAGCCCACTTTGGGTCATAACTACCACCCTAATTTGAATCGGGAAAGTCCTCCAGAGCTCTCTCGAATGCTGCTACTCGGTATCTGCCGTGGATGAAAGCTTCAGTCTCGCACCACGGCCTAGAGAGGAGAGAGGCTACAGGCTGCAAGGTCGCGCTGTGGCGACAAGCGGCACATCTCTCACTTACGGTTCTCGTCCATGAAGGACTTCATGAAGTCCGTCAGGGTCGCCACACCCTCGAGGGGCAGACCATTGTACAGGGATGCTCTGCATCCACCCACAGACCGGTGGCCGGCCAGGGTGTAGAGCTTGTGCTTCTTGGCTTCATCCAAGAACTTCTTCTCCAGCGCTTCATCCCCACCCTTGATTGTGAAAGGGACGTTCATTCGCGACCTCGCGGACTTCTCTACAGGGCACTGGTAGAAGCCGTCGGAGCCGTCGATCATGCCGTACAGCATCCCGCTCTTCTTGTCGCTCTGCTCTGCCCAGTGGGCGAGGCCGCCTACCTTCTTCGTGTACTTGAGGTACTCGCCCATGACGTACAAGGTGAAGCAAGCAGGAGTGTTGTACATGGAACCATTTTCGCCCGTCGTCTTGAAGCTGCAGTAGGTCGGGCAGATCTTCAGCTCCTTGCTACCATCGGCGAAATCCGGTCGCAGGAAGCCCACAGCCATGCCTGCGGGACCCAGATTCTTCTGGATGCCTGCATAGATGTACGCGTGCTTGCCGACATCGATGGGCTTTGAGCAGAAGTTGGAAGACATGTCAGCCACCAGGGGCACGCTGCCAACGTCCGGCGTGTAGCTGAACTCGACCCCGTTCACGGTCTCATTGGCACAGTAGTGCACATAAGCAGCCTCTGGGTCCAACTTCCACTCTGACTTTTGAGGAATCGTTGTGAACTTGGTTGACTTGGTGTTGCAGGCCAACTGCCCGGTCCCATACTTGTTGCATTCCTTGTGCGCCTTCTCACCCCACTGACCGGTAACGAGATAGTCGGCCTTGCCCTTGGTTCCGAGCATGTTCAGCGCGACCGTCGAGAACTGCAGGGTGGCACCTCCCTGCAACATCAGCACCTTGTAGTCGCTTGGCACGCCGAAGATGTCCCTCAAGTTCTTCTCTGCCTCTGCGGCGATGGCCATGAACTCCTTCGATCGGTGTGACATCTCCATGACGCTCATGCCAGAGCCCTTGTAGTTCACCATCTCGCGCTGGACCTCCTGCAGCACCTCCAGCGGCATGGCACTGGGACCCGCCGAGAAGTTGTACACGCGGCCCTCCGCCATCTTGTCCAAAGCGGGGTAAATACACCTAAAAGCACGCAGAGCCACCAAAAATGTCTTGCGGAATCAAGACCTTGATACACAACTTGCCAACTCTCAGAAGTGCGTTTCTCTGCTCCACGTGCAGGTGACATGACACGCAGCCATGACAGCTTCCCTCAAGCCTTTTCGAGATGCTTGACTCTGGCTGCAAGAGAAACCTGCCAAAATCCCACCTAGTCCTAGTCAAGAAACATGTGGCCCATAAAACACTAGATTTCGGAAGCACAGAGAGAATCCTCCAGATCCCTCCTTGCCACCAATGGCGTGCCATGCATTGAGGCTGAGTCTTCAATGGCTTCAGTCTCGCACCACGGCCTAGA